GTAGTGCTGTCACCCGTGCCTCCCCCGGATATCAACTCAAACAGATCTTGCGGGACATCTGGTCCTGTCCAAAACAACCCGGAAGACATTTGATCCATGCCCAAAGGTCCTTGATATTTGGTCCCATCCAAAACCAATTGGCATGGAACAAATATGATCATGGATTTTTCAGACAGGACTAAATTTCAAGGAATTTTTGGCGTGGACCAAATGTCTTATGAATGTTTTGGACAGGACCAAATATCCAGGACCTTTGGGCATGGACTGAAAGTCTTATGGATGTTCTGGACGGGACTAAATGTCTGCTAATCCAAAGAGAAACCAACTCAGGAGGAAAGTCTAACAATCTAGAACTCTTTCTTTCTTGTTGAGATTTCTGGTAATAGAAATCCCTAGTCCCTCTATTATCAGGCTTTTTAAGGTTTCTTTTATCTATGTTCTTCTGGAAAGCTACTTTGCCTTTCTGTTAGAAAAGTTTCTCATATCTGCATTTTGGTATAGTACCTTGAGAATAATATAGAGTTAAAATTCCTGTATCATTTTTAAAAGTACCTTTTGTGGCTTCTGTCAGTTGCCTTAACCTTAATGGAATTTGTACTCCAATATAGTAATATCAGGACACAAGAAGGCCACTATAGTTTTGAATTGTCACATTTGGACTATGCCTTGGTGACTCTTTCTATATCCTGTATAGATGTCTTTATCACTTCACTGCACTTATTTGCTTACATGTCTCCTCCTTCTACAGACTGTAAGAACCATATGGCAAGGACAAGAGTGTGGGTCCTCATTACTTTAGGGCAACTTTACTATGCTTCTCTAGTCCACTCAATTTCTTACATTTGGCAATTGGGGTTGCTATATTTAGCAAGTAAAAACATAAGGCACCAAATTAAATTTAAATTTCAGATAAACAATGCATAGTATTTGTATTAGTCAGAGTTCTCCAGAGAAACAGAACCAATAGAATGTTTGCACATACACACACATACACACACACACACACACACACACATAAAGAGAGACAGAGAGGGAGAGAGAAAGTGAGATTTTAAGGAATTGGCTCACATGGTTGTGGAAGCTGGCAAGTCCAAAATCAGTAGGGTGGGCTGACAGACTGGAGACCAGGGAAAGAGTTACAGTTTGAGTCTGAATGCCCTCCATCGGCAGAATTCACTTTTCATCGTGGGAGATCAGTCTTTTTCTAGTAAGGCCTTCAATTAAGTGAAAGAGGCCCAACCACATTATGGAGGGTGATCTAATTTACTCAAAGTCTGCTCATTCAAATGTTAACTTAGAAAAAAATACCTTCACAGAAACATCTGGAATAATGTTTGACCAAATATCTGGATACTGTAGCCTAGCCAAGTTAATATCTAAAATTAATTACCACACTATTATCTAACATAAGTATATTTCACACAATGCTTGGGACATATTTATACTAAAATATTATTCATTGTTTATCTGAAATCCAACTGTAATTTAGTATCCTATATTTTGTCTAGCAAACCTATTTCCAATGATTAATCTGTCTCTATTATTTTCCTAACATCCATTCAACTGCTTCTCTTTTCGTAAATGACCTAAATTCCTTCACCACTGGTAAAACATGTAATCAAAGAAGAAACATACAGTTGATATTTGTGACCAAGAATTTATAATAGAATTAATCTACCTGGTTGTGTGACTTTCTCCAGCAACACTTCTTCCCAGTTGCAAGTAGGAAAAAGACAGAGATTTGAGTTGAAGTGGCAAAGAACAGAGGAGCAAAGATGGTTAGCATATTTGTAAGAAATAATAGAAGAGCACCACAAACTCTAGAATGGATGAGGGAGTGAAGACAGACTTGGAGCGGCAGAAAGGGAAAGTGGAGTAGTATTTTATGGACTAGAAGTCCCAAAGAGGTTGGAGAAAGTTGCAGAAGGGATGTTTAGGCAACCAAGCTGAAAGAGTAAGTGCTCTATTGAGGAAGAGAAATGCTTGAATTAATTATGTTGAAATTTAGAAAGGTATGAGTAATTCACAGAGTGGCTATCATTGTACATGAAAAGGTCAAGAAACAGAGAAGCCTTTATGTTGTATGGATCATCCACTTAGGTACTGAAGTCATCCCAAATTTGTGAGGCAAAGGAAAATTATATGCAGGTGCCAAAGTCTGCAATGAATGAGTGAAGTGCCTAGGCTCTAGAAGGTCATAGATGATAGCACAGAATAGGAAGAGCGGGTGGTAGAGACACATGGCATAAATGTCAAAAAAGATAAATTTTTAAGATGGTGGAGAAAACTTAAGACTACATTCTTGTCATATTCATTTCAAACCATTAGCACATATTTCCAACTTCTTACAGTAATTACCACCAACCCTTTCCCAACTGGTCTTACCACTTCAGGAACCTTCACTTGTGCCCTCTAGCTTCCACTACACAAGGTTATGTGTGATACGTCCTCATTTCCTTCTCTGAGGAAAGCCAGTTCACACTAATTGCAAGTGATGATCATCACATAGAGTTTATGTCCAACCCAGGATTCCCTAGAGAAGCGCTGTGTAATAGGAGTTTCTGCAATGACAGAAACATTCTCTACCTGTGCTTCCAAAACGGCAGCCAAATTCGGTACACAGAAGCTCAAATAGAAAACTGTGCTTCATCTTCTTGTTGCAAACTTTCCTTCTCTGTCCCTTGCCCTATGTTGTCTGGTCCAAAACTCTTCCTTGGGTTTCAAAAAATAATATACAGAAATGCCTGTGTCCATGGTTCTAAATGTGAAATCAATGGCTATTCAAGGTGTCATGGATGGGCTTCAAGATCCCACAAACCTGAGGATGTTTACAAAGGTTATGCACACATGCATGTGCATATTCTGGGGAAAATGTCCAAAGCTTTATCCTTTCTTAAAGGGATATGAGATCCAAAAGAGTTAAAAGCTTCTTGTTTATAGTGAACCCACAAAAATCTTAGGAACCCTAAATGAGACCAACTTAAATTATCAAAAAAAAAAAAGCTGAAAAATCAAAGTACTAGAGAGCAGTTTTTTTACCTCTTAGCAGTGCATAGCATAATGCTACCAATAGGCACTGGTAATAAATATTTATTGGCTATTTATTCAGTCAATATTGATAATTGATGGATGACATAAAATTGATAAAAGGTAAAGTGTAATTAGGGAAGGGCAGTGTACCTTGATAAGCTCCAACCTTCTTGAGGGAGCAGGAGGCCTTAGGACTTCCCCATGAGCTTAGGAGCAGTGGATCAGGGAGCTGGGTAAGCTTTCTTAATCCCTTGCACCTGTGTTGTTGTCATTTCTCCCTGACCATTACCCAGAATAAAAAAAAAAAATCTCAAAACAAACAAAAAAGACTTATTTAGTTATTTGAGGAAATGATATCCTGCTCCACAGTCAAGGAACCCCCAGAAATAAAATGAGTATTAACAGAAAGCAAAGGAAGCAAATCCTTGGGTGGAAAGAAAGAAGTAGGCAGAGAGTAGGGACATACAGTTGTTTTCAGACTAAATCAAGTGGAAAGCCACTTGGTATCATACACATGGTGAAGAAATAGAGTTTAGCAATCAAAAGTTTGAGGACACAGTGAATGAAAATGCTAATAAGGATGTTGAAGTTTGTGGGAAACTCTCCAGCTGTCTTGTTCCCAGCATCTCATCTTGGTTTGTTTCCTTAGTCAGAAGCACAAACATATGAAATGCCTTATAGCAAATGTAATAATGGGAGACTTTCTAAGATTTGAATCCACCCCAAATTCCTGTATTCATGTTGTCAGGTGCTGACGCAAGGTTTGCTTTATAAGTGATGAAAATTAGATTGGAAGCTTATATAATAAAGTGTTTCCTTCTCTTTCATGATAAGGAATTGTGACATTACAGTATATCTTAATAACTTTGCATTAAATCTTTTTAGCCCTTTAAAATCATTGCCAATATTTCTTCAGTTAATTAAAACCAGTGAGTCTATTTAATGGGCAATGTGATCATTATAATTAATTAAATACAGACACGGTCACAAGTCTCTGAACTAGGGGCTTAGTGATTTTGCAGAATATGGAGAAGGTAAAGTCCCTAAAATCAACATCCTGAATTCCTGTGAGAACTTCTGAAGTGAATGCAGGAGGCAAAAACTGGAAGCTAATTTTCTTGTAACATCCTAAGTAATTAATTTACGTACACATATATAGACACATTTTGACTATACAATTTATCATCCTCTATACATAATTGGTAGTCATACTATGCCTCTTACCTTAAAGACAGCTAAATCCATCTATTGAATGTTTCAACAGAAAGCAAATATCCAAAATGAAGCACTTAGAAGCGTTGTGTCTAGAAAAAGCATTAAACTACAGGTCAGAAGAATTGCTCATTTCTGTATGTGTTGCTATTGCTTGTGTGAATTTGAGCAATGCCTCCTTTCAAAAAAATCCATAAAGTAGATATAGTAATATATGAATACCAACCTTACAGAATTATGATACAGTTTAGATATAAAGCTATACCTAAAGATATTTGAAAGAAATGGAACATAATCTACAAATTTAGTTTTTATTACTCAGAAGGTTATCTATTTTGGTGGGTTCTAAACCTGGTTGATCATTAGAATCACTAAGGAGCTTAAAACAAATGGTGAATGTCTGGGCTTCACCCCAGATATACTAAATCAGAATGCCCTAGGAAGAAATCCAAAATCAGTATTTTTATTAAGTCACCAAGGTACTACAGATGTATATCAACATTAACACAATAGCTACTATTTATTTCATACTATATTATAGACACTTTGAAAGGACGGCACTTTTCCCACATTTGATATTCATTTAGACCTCACAAGAGTTCTGGATGTAGGTATTATTATCCCCAATTTGCAGATGAGGGAAGATTAAATGACATTCCCAAGGCTCCCAGTGTCACACAACACAATTATTGAGCGGTGGAAACCACATTAGAAACCCAGGACTGTCAGACACCAGAACTTTTGCCACCGGTTTTCAGCTTTCAGGTTCGTGGCAGAAAGTTTAGGACTAGAATTTCTCGTCTTAAAAACTGGCAGGACACTTGAAAAGATTAAGATTCCAGAAACTGAGAACAAGCCATGGCTAGAGCATGAGCGCCCTTCTAAGGAGGTCAGTGTCACTTTGCTGGCCATCTACAGTGCGATGCTGGAGGAGCAGAATGTGACTGTCTGACTAACCCTCATGCTCTCATGAAGTAGACGTCTCATGTTCCACTAGACATGTGATCAGCTTTCTTTGGTAGCGGCTTCTTATTGCATTATGCTTTTCATGCTCTATTAAAATTAAAATTTTCAATGTCTATTTAATATTCATTGCCCTAACGGTATAGGCACTTAGTTTGATAAAAATTAATTTTGCACATTGACCAAAATTTGAGAGCACAATATAGAGCTCACAGCCCATACTTCTTACACTGCCTCATACCTCCTGTCTGTTTAAGACAGGTAGCTTTTATTGTGAGGGAGATCTCAAGTTCTCCTTGCCTTAACTTTAACTCTTACTTAAGGTGTAACATACAATTTCTTTTGTCCTCTTGGAACATGTGCTCTTTAGCCTTAGTTGAGCTTAAATTTTTAATATTTTTCCACTCACAAAAAATTAATACTTTACAAGGCATTTCTGCCAAGAATGGGAATATTCTGCTCATGTGGGATGAGGCCCGGGCTGGCTCTTTATACCAGGGCAACTTCCACATGGTGGTGTCTGGAAGTCTGGCCCACGAGACACTGGGAAAAGCCTCCACAAGAAAAGCCACGTCTCTGAGATGTACACTAGGCCAGAGAGGGAGCTCTTTTCTTGCTGTCCCTTTGCCCAGAGCTCTGGTTGGGAGGTGTTGCTTTGACCATAGCACTAACCTCTTCTTTAGTCTTCTCTTCTGCCTTCAATCTATAAAGCACATTTTTTGCCTCCTGGTAAGTTTTGCAGTTTTTTTCAAGATACTTCCAAAATTTCCTATTTTTCTTAAAATCTAACTTTAATATTGTACCCTATAAGATATGTGACTATGGTTGTTAAGTACTTTGACTTAATTTAGGTTAGAATGAGCTATTATCGAGCACTAACTCTGTGCCAAACATTGTTAATAAGCACTTTATAAGCATAATCTAATTTATTCCTTACAGTGACCCAATTACACAAAGCATTATTTCCGTTTCATAGGCAAGGGAGATTAATTGTCCAGTAAGTGGTAGAACTGCAATAGAAACCCTTGACCATCTAATTTCAAAATTCCTCCTCATCATTCTGACTTATCAGCCTCTTTCATGATGCGTGTGGTGGTTTTAAATAAAGGGCCCCAAACTTTTTAATATTTCTCCTACTAAGAGGTGGAAACAATGTCTCCTCCCCTTGAATCTGAGTGGGCTTGTGACTCACTTGTAGTCGACAGAATGCAATGAAAGTGAACGCATGAGTTCTGAAGCTAGGTCATAAAATGTGTTGCTGCTTGTCGTATTCACTGGGACACTCATTTTGGAGGCCTGGCTTCCATGTAGGAAGTCCAACGATCCAGAAGCCTTCACACTATGAAGAAGTCCAGGACTCTTGGAGAGACCCCAGCTGACAACAGCCTCAACCAGCAGACATGAGAGTGAAGATGCCTCCAGATTTCTAGACCCCAACTGCTAAGTCTTTCCAGATGATGCCCCAGACATCATGAAGCACAGACTGTCATTTTCATTATGCCTTTTTTGAGTTCTAGAACACAGAATCTGTGAGCACTAAAAATCAGTTATTTGAATTTTCTAAGTTTGGAGGTAACTTCTTACATGGTAATAGTAACTAGAACAATTGATCACTAAATACCTTCCCAGAAACATATCTTTCTCCACTCTCCTCATGGAAGCCAATGTTTCTTTAACTTCTCTGTTGCTCCCTTTGCCTGGAATTCCTGATCCCCAGATAATGTATACTTATCCTTCACTATGCAGCTTTGGTGTCACCTACTCCAGGAAACCTTCACTGCCAACTCTTCCTCTTTCCATTGCCAGCCTCCATGAGGCAGTGATGATATGAAAGACTTTCTCCTCTATCTTCTGCACTCAGCTGGAAGATCCTTCAGGGCATGAATGCTTTGTCTTTTATTTCTATACCTCTGGAGCCTAGAATAGTGTTAGCACACAGTACACACTCAATAAAAACTTATGAGTTAATACATATATAATTGAATTAGCTAATTAATCAGAATATGAATCAATTATTAGACATAGTGGGATGTAATATGGAAAATACACAGAATGTAATCTCTATACCAAGCCAATAGGTGAAGAAATACAATTTCATAAAAAATGTTAAATATGGACATCAGTGTTTAGGTAGAACCCATAAACAATTCAGTGTTCAGTGTTAATAGTTTAAACAAATACTCTGTGGTTTATAAACTATTTAGAGATGTAATGAAATGTTTGCCTTATATATACATAAGTTGGATTAAAAGAGATCAAAGTATTAGTAAATATATTTTACATGTTACAAGTAATAACTTTATATTTGCAAAGAAAGACTGGGTTGGATTTCATAATATTGTTTATAAAAGATTTCACCAGAGGAATAAATTGCATAAAATAGAATCAATAGAAAATTATAAAACTAAAAGTATCATATCTGGATTTTGCTGCCACCCACAAGGATTAACTGCTGGAGGGAATTGCCCTTCCACCATAAATAGTTAGAAAATCTGACAAAACATACGAAACAATTATTTTCAGACATTTAGCAAGTGATCACTGATAAAAGGGAAATAGATGAGATAAACTTTACAATTGTTCCCACTTATGGTGTAAAGGCAATTTCCAGGCCACAGGGCTGGAAGAGGAACCAAAGAGAACCCAGTGGTCTCAGTGAGGTGAGGAGACAGAGACTGGAGTACAAGAAGACTTGAGGCAGCTAGAATTCATGGGCAGAAAATTAGAGAAGTTTGCTGAGCAGAAAGAGGACTTTACAGCTCTGCCAAAGTGTCCCCTTGAATCTTTGTCTGAATATTAATCTGCACATGTGTGGATGAAACTCCATGAAGCTGGGGAAATAAACACAAGAAAGCAAGAAGTCAAAAATTCCTGGAGTTCACACAGTGCTGGGAATAGTTCACAATCCCAATAGCTAGAGAGGAAGGACCTTGTAATACATTGTCACTGGATAGATTCCCTAGAATGGTGTTACCTGGGTAGAGGGGTTAAATTAGCCCTAGGCTAATGCCAGTTCCAGATCAGTGCTAACCAAACTTAAAAGCAAGCTTCAAAAGAATCAAATGCATTCAAAGTAACTTAATGCACTTTAGAGCAAAATAAAAATTTAGGTAAAGAAATGCATTAAAATCCAATATCCTAAAGCATAAAATCCAAAGGTACATTATGCAAAAAAAAAACATTATCAGAGAAAGTAAGCAGCAGGAAAATAAAATCCATAATCAGAAGGAAAATCAAAAATAATTTTTTTGCCATAAATTGAAGAGATGATAAAAAAAAACATTGACAGCTATCATAACAAAACTGAATATGCTGAAAAAAAAAATACAGAGGAAAGCATAAGCATGAGGAAAGAAATGGAAGGCCTAAAAACAGCCTGATGGTAATTCTAGTGGTGAAAAACACAACAACTAAAATGAAAGAATGCATGTGTCAGGTTAAGAATGGAATAGATACTGCCGAAAAAGCTAGTGAATTTGAAGACATAGCATTAGATACTATCCAAAATGAGGTAAAGAGAAAAAAAACAAACACAGGAAAACATAAAGAGAGTGTTAGTGACTTGTGGGAAAATATCAAGCAATCTAACATAAGTCTAATCAGAGTCGAGGAGAGGAGAGAGAAGGGAACAGAAAAAATCATTAAAGAAATAATGGCCAGTAACTTTCCAAATTTAATGAGAACTATAAGCCCATAGATCCAACTAGTTCATAAACTCCAAGCCAAAGAAGCCTAGTGGAAGCCACACCTGGGTATATCATGACCAAACTGCTGAAAACCAATGATATATAAAAAATCTTAAAAGTAGCCAGAGAAAAATGACACATGTATTCAAGCACCAAGATAAGATTGACAGCAGCCTGCTCATCAGAAACTATGCAAGCCAGAAGACAATGGAGCACAAGACAAGCATACATAGAAAAAGATCAACCCAGAATTTTATATCCAGTGAAAATAACTTTCCAAAATGAGGATCAAATACTGTATCAGACAAACAAAAACTGAAGTCAATCCCCACTATCAGATCTTTATTATAAAAAAATATTCAAGAAACTTTTCTGGGAAGAAGAAAAATGATATCAGATTGAAAATTAGATGTACAAAAGGAATGAAGAGCACCAGAAGGAATAAATACAGAGACAAATATAAAAGTTATTTTTGTAATTAAACAACACTTGTAAAATATAATAAATGGTTGAAGGTAAAATTAATAGCAAAATAGTGTGATGATTAAAATATAAAGAAGTAAAATGTATCACAAGAATTACACAAAGGACAGAAGGAGGGAAATAAAGTATACTGGGTTATTACTTGTACAAGAAACATTTGAGAGCTCAATAAGTTACAAATATATTTTATAAACAGTAGAGCAGCCACTAAAACAAAACAAGAGAGACTGAAAAAAGTACCAATATTTTTTACATGTTGCAAGCAATCATTCTGTATTTGTAAAATAGGTTGGATTTAGATTTAATAACAGTGCTTATTTTTTAAAAAAGCTCCAGAGAAGGGAAAAGATTGTATTCAAGAAGGAATTTGGCTTCTAGTTAGGAAGTGAAGTCGGTGACGAAGTCGGTGACAAAGTCAGGAGCAAAAGATTTTGGAGACTCTACTCACTTCTCAATCCCCACTCTCCAATGGGGCTTCCCCAGCAAGTGCATCATTTGTGCATACGGTATAGAAGCTGTGTGTGTGTGTGTGTGTATGTGTGAGTGTGTGTGTTTGTGTGTGCATGTGTGTGTGTAAACTCTTCTTTTGAGGGTAGGGCCTCTCTTTTGTTCATTGTCTTATTGGTGCCCATACAGTGCCTAGAATAGTAGGTATACAATAGTATTTGATGATTTACTGACTGGAAGTATCAGAAGCCTCTGGAGAAGCAGGCAGATGGAGCACCAGGAATCAATCTTTGCATCTGGGTGAATAAGAATAGAAGATGCTATCATTTGTGGCATGGTATTTAAAACCCCGAAATCCCTCTCTGATAAAGGT